TATATATATGTGTATGTATATATATATATATATATATATATATATTAAATGTATATAACTGCTAGATTTGTAGTTTATGAAACAAATGAATGATCAATTGTAAAACATTTAGAACATTGTTTTAAAAAAGGCCTTTTCCAAAGGCGATGTGAAAAAACGAAATGAATCACAGGCGAATGGTCCTTTTACATCAAGAGCAAAACTAAGATTAAACAAATTCTGAATCTGATCGAGTCCAGCTGAAGGAAACACAAAGTAGAGGGGGCAACAGGAATAATGCACCTTTTATCATCCGTTTACAGTTTGGAGGCAAATGGTTTAAAATATGCTGTAGATTCAGCAGAAGTTCAGGAAACACTGGTGTGTTACATAGACGTTGCTCTTACAGATTCCTCTCTTCTCCAGCCAGTTTTGTGGACTCTGAGCTGCCTCTGGACTCTGACAGCTCAGAGTTGCTTGCAGATACTTTTGACATCCTGTCGCTGAAAGAGATGAAACTGACAGCCATGAGCGGCCCAGCAGCAGGAGAGGAACCTCAGGAGGATGAGATGGCCATGGCTAAAGCTGTCTTACACGTGGCCCAGAAAAAGCTGGTCTCACAGGTGAATGAACGTCCTGAAGGTGTATTCTGAAGGCAGTCAAAAAACTATTGTCTGACCTTTGTTGAACTTGCCATCTGTTTTATGTGCAGGTCCAAAAGAGGAACTTTGTGGAGAATGTTATTCCTATCATCATCAGTCTGAAGAACATGCTGGAAAAGCAACACTCACCTGTCCTGAAACACCTTATGGCCTACCTACAGGTGATATAGACATGAATTTACTGAACTGCACGCACACAAGAAAAGCTGAGGAAATTGATCATTGATGTAATTTTATGAGTAATCCGTTATTCATGCCCATCCCTATTAGAGTTAGTTTAACCATATGTATTTGAAACAGTTCATTTATTTTTTTGCCTCTAAACAAACATTTGTTTATTCTGACACCAGGCTTTTGTCCTTGTGTTACAGGTGACCATGCAGGACTATCGTTCAGAAGTGAAGGAGCTGTTTGCTGCTGATGAGCAGTTGGCTGCAGAGGTGGAGTATAACCTGAAACGGTTTGAAAAGGAAAAACAACAACAAGAACAACAGCAGATGGAGAATCAACTGGCCAACTTCACATTTTCACCCCAACGAAACGTAAGTCAAACATACTCATACATCGGAAAGTAGCAGATGTGACAACAAAGCCATGAAGCGTTACTGCTGGTTTTTGACCACTTCTTTCTTTCTTTCCTCTGTTTCCCTCTCTTGCCCATTCTTTACTGTGGCTTCTCCTGCCCAGGCAACAAATGTTGGGGGGCAGACAGGTTTTGCCTCCCCTCTAAACCCTCATGGTACTAAAGGTCCCGCACAAACCCCAAAATCTGCTGATGCTCTGAGGTAAAACTGAGCCACATCCCAGTACAACAGATAATTGTCTTTTTTCTTTTCTTTTTTTTTTAGTTTGACATCACCAGTATAATATCAGTGTAATAATGATATCATCAGTAATGTTATCTGTAAAGATAAGGCAAAATTTGATTTTTATGAAGTCATGCTGCATTTACAATTACTTTTTCTCTCAGGCGCCGCACTTATGCAGGCATGGTAACTCCAGTCAGGACCCATTCTTCCCCTACAGTCTTTTCAACAGGTAAACCCAATAACAGAACAATAATACTGCTTATACAGAACAATGAAGGTCATTTATTTCTGATGTGATTTTTATAACATCTGTGATTGAAATAATTAATTTCACCTCTTCAAAGGAATTTTAGATGATATATTTTATTCTCTATAATATGTTTATATGTTATAATGTAAACCTATTTATGTTTATATGTATATAATATAATATTCTCTATAATATGTTTTCCATATTCATATAAGACTCAGTTTCTCAATTAAATAAAAAGATAGATTTCACATTCTGTCTCTTAAAATTCAAATTGGTCTTCAAACAAAAACCAAATAATAATTGTTAATAATTAATAATAAATTATCAAAATTACAATTATGGTTACAAACTTTAGACAGACTAAAGTGTATTTTGCTTCAGTTCTGGGTGGCAAATGAAAACAAGAAAAAGCATTGGCAATAATGAAACAAAATGCACTGCTTTTTGTGTACTTTAATAAAGAGCATCTATATTATCAGTTAAAAATAATTTTTAAGCACTCTCTCTCTCTCTCTCTCTCTCTCTCTCTCTCTCTCTCTTCTCTGACAGGACGAGGAAAACAGGTTGGGAGAGCCATCAGTACTCCACAAGGTCAGATTAATTCATTTGGATGTCTCCCACAATTACAAATGTCCACCCTTAAGGGCTGTTCACGCACAACACATTTTTGCATTCCACTGTGCTGCTTTTCCATTGTTTTTCTGAGTATATGTGCTAGACGGACGTGTTTGACTGTCACACTCACTTTTTGCAGCATGACACCGCATTCTAAAAAAATGGTGCTTAAGTTAAAGGTGTCATATGATGCTGTTTTAAAGATCATTATGTTGTGTATTTGGTATAACAGAATATGTTGACGTTGCACAAATTCTGGGTTGTGCTGTTCTGTTGTAAATAAATCTTAACCAATGATTCCTAATTGCATCTACTTCCGGAAGGCCAAATAAAGCACTTTTGCTTTCACACTGAAACACATCGTCTCCCTGACATGACTGCATCAACACTACTGCTGTTCCTGAAACCACACCTTCTTTCTTTGTGTGCCCAGCATTATGCTAATATTTCCACATCGTGATGTAGAAATGTGGGGGCGTGTTAGAACGAGCCGTTTTAGGTAGGCATGGTTGACTCTTTTAACTTTTATAAAGAATATCTCTTTGGATTTGAGACTTTAGTCTTTGCAACTTTACAGATCTTCTTTATGCACCAAGAGCTTGTAACACTCCAAAGAGAAAGGAAAACTTGAAATCGCATCATATGACCCCTTTAAAAGTAGTTCAACTTTTAAAAAAAAACTAGACTTTTTCCCTCCACTGCCCTACATCACATGTTTTTAAATTCAGAAATGCATTGTGTGTGGATGGCTTTGATATATGACACCCCGCTTGGATGTCCTTTTTTACATTATGGAAATGATTGTGCATGCTGTTGTCAATTTTACGGTTTTAAAAGAGCCTGTGCTGAAATGAGCTGGTATTGTTTTCATTTGAGAAATGCAAAGGAAATGCTTTTTTTGTTCTTTAAAGCGAGCATAAATGAAGTGACATTTGGAGAGCAAGTCAGTGCCATCTGCTGTGAATCTAGAAGAGGTACGTTTTTCAAATGCTCTTCCATGTTTAAGTCTTAAGGTCAGGAATCTCATTTATGACACTATAACCCAAGTGTATCAGTAGTTCATAGCTGGTAACCTGCACATCTAAAGTGCTAAAACTGACTGGTCCATGCTATTCAGCGGCAGAAGTACTAAACGGAAGGTTGTGAATGTTAACATTTTTATCTAGTTATAGGTAGCAAAGTTGTGGATGAAGAAGAGAGTGTTCTACATCTAATGTCACCAGAACAACAGTAAGTTGATACATTTCAGATGAGTTAAGATGAATTTATAATGTTTCATTTAATTTAATTGAACATAAACATCAATAAGCAAAATATCTTCAAAAGATGAAGCATTATGGTTTATTGCTTAGTATTAATAACTAATATATGTTTTTATTTTTATTTTCATCCACTCAGAAAACCGGTGCCCAGGCAGTGGAATGTTGAATCTCCTCTTGTTCAAAAACTGAGAAGCAAAAAACGGTTCTAGTGAATGTTTCAGTTCACCATACCTTTAGAACAAGCCCTCTTTAATTCACACTTCTCTTGATAACTCTCTTTTTACAGTTTCATTTTGTCTTATTTGTTAAAAGCAATGTTATTAAATGCCTTTGATACTTTGGATTGTATCGTGTGGACAATTATATGGCATGAATGTAAGAATATTTTTGTTTTTCTAATACTCTTTTGCTTTAATAACAGCAGCCTTTACACTGCCGATTTTAGAATATTCCAAAGAGCATCTTGTGCATTTCAGTAGCATCTGACATTTAGTACAAAAGCAATGTCGCAATGGTTGCGTTTCCTCTGTGCCACATTAGCGACGACAGAAGCCTTTCGATAAACTGCAGGTTTTTGTTTGACACGCAGAAATGTATGTGACAAGTGTTTCAGAGCAGAAATATATGTAACAACTGTCTTCAACTTTCATATTTGTTCTCAGTGTCACATGGATCATTCAGGATATATATATATATATATATACTGTATATTATTTAGCATATCCTTCATTTATCTATTCTATATATACTATACTTCAACTTATCCCTGCTGCACATTTTGTAATATATTTGTGAAATGTGAAGGTTTAAGTAAAAGAGTCTTACTATTACTTTCAATCATGCTATTCCTTACTTATGTTTATAATATGATTCACATATATTTGGGCAGACAGACACAGAATATTATTTGCCATATGAAACAATCTCTGCAAACCCTTGAGTTTAGGTACTCCTCATAGAAGTCAGAATCAGAAAGAGCTTTATTGCCAAGTATGTTTGCACATACAAGGAATTTGTTTTGGTGACAGAAGCTTCCAGTACACAGAGACAACAACAACACACAGATAATGAAAAATAAAGATATGTATAAAATATATAAATAGACAAAATTGTATCTACAGGTGTGCTACAGATAGAATAGAATAGCTCCTGGGACCCAGGCATGGACTTTTGTCCTCTGTAGAGGACGTTATATTTTAGTGAATTTCTCTGAGACCGTACATGCCACAGTTTTAAGTGGATGTCCTGTACAGAGCACATGCAGGGCTTTAGAGATATCAAATGTTTGGAGGTTTGATCATAAACACTCCCTCTCCTTGGTCTTTAAATATGACTTATACTGACATAATTATCAAATTTAGCACTCTTAGAGAAATATGATAATGTTTTGAAATTATTATTTAAATCTGGCTAATTTTCAAATTGTTCGTCGTAAATATCTTCAAAAAATGTCGTGGGGTTTCAAATCGCAATATAACTTTTTGTTACGAAACGGCATAATTTTCATACATGTATCTGTAGAGGACACCAGGACAAACATCATGTTGATCAGGCATTTTGGGGAGACACAACAAGAAATTATAATAGATCAATATTCCTATGTAATATGAGATATTCTTATGAACATGTTGCCAGTTATTGCTCCCATTATAACACTTCTTTTTTCAATATGGCAAATTAGATGCAGTGTATAGATACATTGAATAAAATGGGAATATCAATTTATGTTTACAGTTTACGCACATCTTTTACTTTTAGTAATTTAGCAGACGCTTTTATCCAAAGCGACTTACAAATAAAACGTAATTAAAACTAAAAGCTAAAACTCTAAATACTATATATATACACATTTAAGAAAATAAAAGAAATTAAATAAAAATCACAAACGCATACAACAACATTTCAAAACTAAACATTTAAATTAAAACAAAAAAATAAAGCTAAAAACAATTCAAAATATTAAAAGAGCAAAAGGTATGAGTATAATAATGATTCTAACATAACACTAAGCCAAACACCAAAAAACAACTACATATGTATGTACAGACACATACATATACATGTACATATATATAAATACATTCAATATATATATATTATTTCATTTCCATTTTGTATGTTGAAGTACTGAAATAACTCAAATGAAATAAAACTTAATAAAAAACCTATATAGACATACAAAACTAATAAAATGACAACATTACTACAACTGTAACTAAAACTAAAATAGAGACAGTAGTTTATCAGTAATCCTAAAAAAAATAACACTGAGCCAAACACACATGCTAAAATAATATTTTTTTTTTTTTTTTTTTTTTTTAATAACTTAGTCCTGGCGTCCTCTACAAAGGACATAGAATAAAATATGATTAAAATATATTTTTTTCAAAGATGTTTTTTCTACATTTGTTTCGTGTGCTCCAATCAATGTAATAATAAAAAAAATCTCAAAACTTTTTTTATGGTTCTCAGGAGAGATGGACTATGACGGGTGGTAGGCTATCAAATAAATATAAGTGGTAAATATACTTCTCTATGAGTTATTTTTTTATTTAACTTTACAAATCATCTCATTTAAAATGTCCTTTTACGTACTACGTATGCTGCAGTTTTGTCAAGCATGCCTTGCTGAACGCTGACTGGCTGTTGCTAAGCGGTTGCTAAGAGAGATCAAGACGCGTCGGAGTGAAGCAGCCTGGGAAGTGTAACGTTTTCGACAAACAAAAATGAAGGCACGTATATTTTTTACATATATAAAACAACGCAATGTCGCATTGTGTTAAAAAGGGGATATTGCTGTTTGAGGCGCACATGTGCTTTGGTGAAGACGAATGTTAGCGTGCTTTTAAGAGCGTTAGCACGACGGCTAGTTAAGTTAGCTAGCTCAACAACAGTTCATGTCTTTTAGCAGAGAAACATAAATGCGTGTAAATAAAATAATATATACTATTTTAACTCGATATTTTCGTGTTTCCTAATAAAAGAATGTTGACCTAAAGAACTGGACTGTTGTAACTTTATCTTTGTTGATGTTATGTCGTTTGTGGTCATTTGATCCTGATATTGTATGACTGTAATTGATCAGCGAACTGTATTGATGTGAAACTTTGATGTTTGTCTCTTTTCAGCGTGTTTTCACGCTGTCAGAAAAGTCCTGGTCTGGATCATGTTTGCAATACAAATGGCAGAAAACAGTAGGAAACTATCTTGCAGTTTCAGGGTGAGTAACTGCTGGATTATTAGTCAATCTTTTTAGGGAGCGTGTGAGTTAAAAGTTATATATATATCATATTTGATATATCCACAGCCCTGACAATTTAGTAAAAATCTTTGATCGGCATGGACAGAAGGTGAATGAGTTAAATCTCCCTGGGTAAGTGAGCATTCAGGCTTTTTTTTGTGTATCTGAGACTCTAATTGGAAGAGAAAGGTCTGATGTGATTTGCTTTCTGCATAACTAAAGAGCAATAATAATGCAGGACTGACGTTCTTTTCTGTTGTTGCTCATACTTGGATATTTTTGTGCATGCAGGAATTGTGTATCTCTCGACTGGGATAAAGATGGCGATATCTTGGCTGTGATTGCTGAAAAGTCCAGTTCCATTTACTTGTGGGATGCAAATGTTAACAAAACCTCACAGCTGGACAGTGGCATGAAGTGAGTGATGTGATGAGAGAGCGAGCGTGTTATTGAGAGGAAACTCTTTGAATCGGGATTGTTTTTGAGACAGCTGTTTTTTTTCTGGTTGATGCAGAGATCAGATGTCTTTTCTGCTCTGGTCCAAAACTGGGCCACTGTTGGCTGTTGGCACATCTAAAGGAAACCTGCTCATCTACAACCAGCAAACCTCACGCAAGATTCCGGTTCTGGGTAAAATTAAATAGTTAAAAATAGTAATAGAAAATGAATATATTTTCTATTTAAAAATTATATTTATAATATGTTTCACACATATTTTGGGCAGAGACAAAAAAAAAAAAGATTTGCTGTATGGAATCAACTCTGGGGTTTTGGTACTTTAAAACTGTTTTAAAAGCATATTTTCCTCTTTATTCTACTATATATTCTGGGTAAAATTTGATAATTTAAGCATACTGAATTTAATAGAGTGCTGTGTGACTAGTTTCCACATCATGCGTGTGTACATGTAGGTAAGCACACAAAGAAAATCACATGTGGCTGTTGGAGCTCTCAGAACCTCCTGGCGTTGGGCAGTGAAGACCGCAGCATAACCATCAGCAACCACGAGGGAGACACCATTCGGCAGGTGCGTGAGGGTCCGTCAGGGAGAGAGATCCTGTAATGTTGTATATGTTGATGCAGACATATAAATAGCATAATTTATCTCCTTTTTCTCTCCTTCAGACCTCTGTGAGAGCAGATCCAGCAGATGTTCAGTTCTCAGTGATGAAAACAGATGAGAGATCATCTCCAGGAGAAAGCACTGTATGTTAACATGCTCATTTTACTTCATTTTTACACTGATATTACTTATACAGTAGGTAGAAATTAATGTAAGAGCAAAATCTTATATTACAATAATATTTGTACACCATTTTTATTTATTTATTTTTGAATTTTTACATAAAAGCAAGTTTACATCACAGTAAAAGTCATATATTAATTATATTATATTATAATAAAATGATTAAATATATATTTAAAATATCTCTCTGTCTTCTGACTTGCTCCCTTTAAAATATAACTTAAAATTTATATTTTATATACAGTAAATTAATGAAAATATACATTTAAAATATAAATTATATAACATGTATTAAATTAATTTATATATTTATATACAATATAAATATATATAATTATATGTAGTTATATATTTATATATCTATTATTAATTAATTAATTATAATAATCACAATTTGGGATTATGCAATGAACTTTCTTTTTATTTTAAACTTTATGGATGCAAATAAAAATTCAAAACCAATGAATTCTGGGTCTAGCATCACCGTACAAACAGTGAAACTAACTTTATTAAATAGTATAATTAAATCATTTGTAATTCTGAAAGGATTAGCTGCTTTTGATGCTGTTGTTAAAATAGCTGATGCACGTTACCCTGTGACTACACATCAGTTGAATTCTATATTCAACCAGCTAGTTGCGACATTGTTTACCATTAAGAACCATCTCATCTTGTCTTCATGTGCTCAGAAACATCCCTTGATAACAACTTGGGCGTCTTCCACCAGATCTGTTTTTTCACATTGTTTCACAAGTATGCAAAAATATCTACAGAATGACTAAATAATCTTTAACTTGCAGGTGAGTGTGGCTTTGGGGAAGAAGACCCTGTTTCTGTTTAATCTGAATGACCCCGATAACCCCATAGAACTGGCATTTCAGCAGCGTTACGGCAACATCATCTCCTACCGCTGGTACAAACAAACACACTCCGTTTTAATGTGCCTGTCACAGTCTGGCTGTAGGTCATTTTATAATTGTAATAATACATTTTATTTATAAGGTGCCTTTCTTATACCCGGAGAGCTATTACACAAAAAAAATACAAAGAGAAAACAAATCACTCAAATCAAATAATTGCACATTACAGTGTGTCTTTCATATACTGAGCACATTTTCCTTTCTTTCTCTAGGTATGGGGATGGCTATATCATGATTGGATTTTCACATGGCTACTTTGTGGTCATTTCCACACACATCCGTGAGATTGGCCAAGAGTTGTTTCAAGCCCACAATCATAAAGACAGCCTGACTAGCATCGCCATCTCACAGTCCCTAAACAAGGCTGCGTCCTGTGGGGACAACTGGTAAAAGTGTTCATTAGTATGCACGTCATTACAATAGTTGTTTGCATAACTGCCATCTGCCACATTTGATATGATCGACGTGTTGGCCAGTTGTCAAAACCAATTTACATACAAAGCCATTATATATTGATTTAAAGGACTAAAACGTAACATCATCCTCAGGCCTGCTTATTACAGTTACAACACGCCGTCATCATCTCAGACACGCATCCCACCTCATCACAGTTTCATCCACCACTCTCTTTGAAAATGACATTTTCTTCCTGTGCTTTTAGATAACATTCTTATATCTCCCTGTCAGTATTAAGATACATGACTTGACTGATCTGAAGGAAATGTACGCCATAGTCACTCTGGATGAGGAGACCAAAGGTATGAATTAATATTTGATGCATATTCATGCACTGTATTTGTGTGTAAAGCATTAGTTCTTAGTTCTGTGGGTGTCTTTCTCAGGACTTGATCAGATGTGTTGGACTGATGACGGGCAGCTGCTAGCTGTATCTTCTCAGCAGGGATCTTTGCACGTCTTCCTCACCAAGCTGCCCATATTGGGAGACAGCAGTGGCACTAGAATCGCCTATCTTACATCCCTGTTGGAGGTTACAGTCGACAACCAGGTGGAAGGGGTAAGGAGACGACACACAGACATGCAGATGGTTTCTAGTGTGCTCTGGGTGGTCGCGTAATGGTCCAGCTTAAAAGAACCTACTGATATGGTCAGAGGGATTTTTTTCACCCGTTTCATCATCTCTGACTGCTTCGAAAATTAATAGCACACCTCTTCTCAACAAGTTGCACTATTTGAGCTATCATACGCACTCGTAGTGCAAAATAGGTTACATTCATGTTTAATACTCAGCATTAGGGATTTGGAAAAAGGTGACCAACGGTAAAAGTGATGCCTGCCTAGTGCCTACCCATAAGCTTTGTGAGCATGTGCATGTGAGTACCTTGTTTTTTCGCCATCTAGCAAGACCCGTAGAATGATTCAGAGCACTTGAGTAACTGCATAGCAAGTTAGTGTTTTTGCCAGAAAGCTTTTTTTTACAGAAGATGTAAAAGTATAATTTATCGATAGTATTTTATCTCTTCTCAGGAGTCCCCCGTTGCTATTGCAGTGGAGGTGGAGCCTAGTTTCATAGCTGTGGGACCATATCATGTTGCTGTAGGCATGAATAACAGAGCATGGTTTTATGCATTAGGAGACAGTGGTAAGTGAGAACCTTTTGACTTTCTATATTTAAAGGGAAAGTTCACCCAAAAATGAAAATTCTGTCATCATTTACTCACCCTCATGTTGTTCTGAACCCATAAGACTTTGGTTATTCTTCACAAATCAAGATATTTTTAATCCCTCCACCGAAAGTCCAGGTAGCCAAACTTAGAAGCTCCAAAATGGTCAGAGGTGTAAAACGAATCCATATGAATCAAGCAGTTTAATCCAAGTCCTCAGAAGAGTTACAGTCACTTTATATGATGAGCAGATTTAATTTAGCCATTTATTTACATCTAAAGAATGATTGACACACATACATATAGCACGTCACATATGGTAAACACGAAAGCTCAAACATGCATGCTCCATGCATGAGAACCAGTGAGGTTTGTTCTAGCATGTGACGCATACACAAGCTTCAGTGTTTACCACATGTGATGCACTCTATGTACATTGTTTTATATGTGAATAAAAACCTACATTAAATCTGTTCATCTTATAAAGCAATCATATTTCTTCACAAGACTGCTCAATTCATATGGATTTGTTTTACGACACCTTTATGACCGTCTAAGTTTTGATTACCTGGACTTTCAATGGAGGGACAGAAACTTACCAGGTTTCAGTAAAAATAATTTTTAATTTGTGTTTCGAAATCTTGTGTCTCATGGGGTTTTGGAATGACATGATGGTGAGTAAATGATGACAGAATGTTCATTTTTGGGTGAACTACCCCTTAAAGTGTGCATGTGTGTGTTTCAGGTGTGGAGCGTGTAAAAGACACGGAGTATTTAGGGACAGTGGCCAGTATGTGTCTGAACTGTGACTATGCTGCTGCCTTGTTTGAGGGGAAAGTCCAGTTGCATGTGGTAAGAAGACAATTATGTGAAAAAAAAAAGATGAGTTTATGACTGTCAGCTTTTTCATCTTGCTTGTTGTTTTAATTTGTGTGTGCGCGTGTGTGTATGAAAGATTGATGGAGATGAGCAGGTTGTTCAGGAGGACAGACAGACGAAACTGTTCCCAGAACCCGATCAGAAATACCGCATACTCAGTCATGCTCTCACCTCTGAGTTTCTGTATTATGGGACGGACGTGAGTCATTCACATATACATCTTGTTTTTCTCCCTTACCTCGTTTTATTAAACCGATAGTAGGTCTTGGATGCTGATTGGTTTGTGTTAAAATATACTTTATAAAATGCATACTTCACCTAATTCCTTACTATACAGTATGCAAAAACTAGTATGTCCAAAATGCAGCATTCATTAAACGTTAGATGAAAAACCCTGGATGAGATTCTGAATCGCGCGTCTGAAGGACACGTTACTATGCAATTAGGCCACGTGAGAGGAGACATAATATTTGTAAATGGCAAGGAACAGCGACATAGCTTTACATCATATTTCACATGACAATGCCAGCATAGTGGATATAGTATTATTTAAATTATTATTAAAGCTGCAGTCTGTAACATTAGATAGCCTGGGATTACAAAGATTTTTTTTTAAAGAAACCCAGTTCGAAGGGAGCATAATTTGCTTTTTGGGTTAAAAGAATGTCTTAATATGAAATTCGAAGAGTATGACAATTAGATTAGACTGTGCAGAAATTGAAATGTACACGCTAATACACTATACTCAGAGTCACCAATGCTGATGTTGTTAACATTAATCATTTGAGAATCAAGATTGCGAAGTACAGTAAATATCCACACCGGTGCGGTGACTGACTGCCACACATACTCTTCAGAACATTAGATTCATCCGCGCTAGAACCATGCCTGAGCACAACCCACGCAAGGAAGATAATTCCACACACAGCTGCAATTCCAGGTTTTCAAACAGAGATGGCGACAGAGGCAAAACTTACGGACTGCAGCTTTAATATTATTATTATTAATACATTAAAACAATCTAACAATTTAAATAAGATGCTAAAAAAGTGCAATCAATATGTAAACTGAAATCAAACAGCATTTATTTTTTCCCTCTCAATAACTATTGTTTTTATTGAAGAACCAAGAGTTCTTGAAACTTTGTAAACCGAATTAATTGTGGTTAGTTAATCTACCTATATTGACATTCCCAGTTTCTGTTAATAATATATTATAGTTCTGTTATTTATATATGGTATATCTACTATATCCTCTAGCAAAGGATGCTTATTAAAATAATATTTAATGAAAGTTTATGTCCTTAACATTTCGTAGTTTTATAAAAGCAATAAGGAACTAAAGTGTGCATAATATGTGCCCTTTAGTGTGACTGTTCGTGATATATCATGACCTCATGTACCTTATTTACCTAAATTTGTATCATTCTTTATGGTTTTCTGCTCATCTTTCTTTCTCTTTCTTTCTGTAGACCGGCTTGATTCAGTGTTTTTATTTTGAAGACTGGCAAAGTGTGAATGAGTATCGCCACACAGTGGGTGTACGCAAAGTCTTTCCAGACCCCAATGGAACACGTCTTGTTTTTATTGATGAAAAAAGTGACAGCTTCCTATACTGCCCGGTATACACAAACAAACATATTTCGCTAACACTGTACAATAAGGTTAATTAGTTAACATTAGTTAATGCACTGTGAACTAAAATGAACAAACAATGAATAACTGTATTTTCATTAACTAACATTAACAAAGATTTAGAAATACTGTAACTTGTTAGTTCATGTTACTTAATACATTAACTAATGTTAACAAATGACACCTTATTATAAAGTGTTACCCATATTTCCTCTCTTAAATGGATAGTACACCCGAAATGACTTACCCTCATGTCGTTCCAAACCTGTGTGACTTACTTTCTTCTCTCCGGAAGATGTTTTGAACAATGTTGGTATCCAAACAGTTGTGGTGACCATTGACTTCCAGATAAAAGAAAGCCAAGCAGGTTTGGAATAACATGAGGGTCAATAAATGATGACAGAATTTTCATTTTTGGGAGGACTATCTCTTTAGTGACCAGTAGTAAGACATTGCTGAGAGGCTAATGTCAAACTTTAAACCAAGTGAAGTCTATATTTCCTACAGGTGAATGATTCCGTGTTTGAGATCCCAGACTTCTCTCCTGCCATTAAAGGGGTATTGTGGGAAAACTGGTTCAGCAATAAGGGCGTGTTTGTGGCGTATGAGGAGGACAAAGCTTACACGTATGCCTTCCACAAAGACACCATACAGGGTAAAACTGAAATCTGTTAGACGTTCTTTCAATCGTTTTGAGGAAAAAAAAGACAGTGCCTTGGAGAGATAAGCCTCAAATTGTCAAATTATGTGAAGAATGGTATTAATGGTATTACCGTTGTGTATTAAGCTTATACGTAATATTTTGTTTAGTACAGTGAAAGAATGCAAATGCTTCAGAACTTTGTTTAAACGTGTTCACCTGTGTTTCACCTGTGAAATTGAATTTGTTCTGAATAAGTTCTCGTTTTTTTTTTTCTCTAATCATCAGTGCCCTGTGCTAGACAGTTTGTTTTATTTAGGTATTGAAACAGACTTCACTGCTACGGAATTTTTGTTTATTTTTATGTGTGTGTGTGTGTTTTTCTTTAGGTTCTAAAGTGATTCTAGTTGGTGCCACCAAGTTGCCATTTTCCCATAAGCCCTTGCTGTTGCATAACGGGGAGCTGACATGTCAGACCCAGAGTGGGAAGATTAATAGTGTGGTTCTGAACACGCATTCATTCCTCAACAACCCACACAGTGACACCAGTAAAGACAAACTCCAGTCGTTACTGCAACAGGCTATTATGCTCAAAAGGTATTTTCATGCTACAGTAGTTTGATTTGCTAGTTTATTGTGCAGGCTTAACTAAATCAAGCCAAATAATACAAACCTCAATGCTTCTGGAAGCATGGTTGTTGGATGCATAATGTATTAGTGATTGCATCTAATTTGACTTCAGATTTCTTCAGCAGCATTCATTACAGTATGTTTGTGTGTGCAGGTTTTCTGATGCGTGGAATATCTGTAAAGCTTTGAACAGAACCGAGGCGTGGGGTGAGCTGGGCAGGGCATGTCTGCATCACATGGAGGTTGAACTGGCCATCAGAGTATACCGCATGATGGGAAACGTCGGCATGGTCATGTCCCTAGAGGACATCAAGGTGTGACCACACGTCACTAGCTCGTGCCTCAGTAGACAGCGTTTTAAACCTGGCATAAAATGGAAATTCACCATTCCTATTTTCTAAATGCATGTTACTGATCTTATTGTGAATAATTCATCCATGCATATGTTTCATTTAAAAAATTGACAATGTAATTTTTAATCAAAATGTCATGAAACGACAGACTCTGACTCTGGTGAAGTATTCCAGACTTCTCCAGTTATTTTGTCAGTATAAACCCTGCCCCTTTTTTACAATCGACCGCAAGCTCGCATTAAGATCTGCGACTATCCTATCAACAACAAATGAATTATTTTCTGATAATGGATATGTATGGAAGAAAAGATCTGTCTCTACTTCTGTTGCATTGCGACTATAAGGCACCATACAGTACTTGCACTGCTGATTCAAAGCTGTTCCAAAAGCTGTGCATCTGCCCCCTAAAATCGAAGCATCGCATGTATCTCTCACGGAGAAAGTAATGCTCACACGGCAGCATTAACTAGTTTGCTGTAAGTTAGTGCCAAGGTGATATAGTGTGTATGTCAATACCTGTTGAAACATGACATCAGTCTGAGAAAAGTGTCCATTTAGGTAGTAAGCAGCGAAGCATCAAGTTTTGGAACAGAGCAATTTTGTGTCTGGGGAACAAGAGAAGTTTAAAATGTTTAATGCAATGAAGTGTTTTTCTTCAACTGTGTCTGTAGGGAATTGAAGATCAAAATTTGCTGGCTGGTCATTTGGCCATGTTCTGCAATGACTACAACCGAGCCCAGGACTTGTATCTGACTTCTTCTTATCCTATGGCAGCTTTGGAGGTAAAATAGACATGCGCACACACGCATGAAAATTCACATGTGTGCATCTTAGTATATACTTCCCAAGTTACTTTTATTACTGTAGCAGTTGAGCTGTTGTGTGTTTAGATGAGAAGGGACCTGCAGCATTGGGACAGTGCGTTACAGCTGGCTAAAAGACTGGACCCTGATGAGATCCCATTTATTTCTAAAGAATATGCCATACAGCTGGAATTTGTGTAAGTCAGCTACATTACATTAGTTAGTTACATAAGTTTTGGAGACATCACATGCTCATGCACATTTTCCTGTACCTGATTGTAACATGGACTTGTTTTCTGTACTGCTAGATGAGTCTGAAAGAATAAGTCGGTGTTATTGCTGTTGATGTAATGTCATATGTTGTTGTGTCGCCCTCTAGTGGAGATTATACAAATGCACTGGCTCACTACGAGAAAGGCATAACAGGAAACAACAAGGTGAGTGTCTGCATGTTTGTGAAATGATGATCTCCGGAAGAGAGATCTTTCTTTCATGGAATAGAGCATAGACAATAGATCCTGCATTTTACATTACTTCCAAAAGAGTAGGAAAAGCTAATTCCTCTAAGAGCCAACAATATTTGTAGTGTACAATGGCAGGTTTATTCAGCTGCTTCTTGAAAGATGTGATGGGTGGAGGTTGGCATCTCATTCCACCATAAAGGAGCAGAGAGGGTGAAGGTTTGCTCATTCAGTGACCATAGCTGGCAGGAGATCCTGATATGTGTGTTTGTAGTTCCAGGATCATGATGAGAGCTGTCTGGCAGGAGTGGCTCGTATGTCTATTCGTATGGGTGACATTCGTAGAGGAGCCAACCAGGCCATCAAACACCCCAGCAGAGCTCTGAAGAAAGACTGTGGAGCCATTCTGGAAAGCATGAAGGTGTGTGTTTGTGTTTATGTATGTGTGTTCATTAACATACAAATCACTCTTATTTGCCTCCGTTAAAGAGTAGTATGCTGTGATTCAAATTGTTTTTGTTGTTGACTGAATGCTTTTTGTGTGCAGCAATATTCAGAAGCGGCTCAGCTGTATGAGAAAGGCCAGTACTATGACAAAGCTGCCTCAGTCTACATACGCTGCAAAAACTGGTAATGCAACTTCACAGCAAAACATCACAGATTTGAATGTTGCGCTGTGGAAACCTGTGATTTGTGGCTAATTTGTAGCTAATGTTGATCTCTTAACTCAGGGCAAAGGTGGGCGAGCTCTTGCCCCATGTGACTTCCCCAAAGATTCACCTGCAGTACGCTAAGGCAAAGGAGGCGGATGGCAAGTATGTACCAAATGCAGTACATTCGCTCCAAGAAAACACACTCCAACAACAGTGAAAAATGTAAGGGGGTCTGAATACTTTCCGTACCCACTGTATATGTATGTATGTATATACTGTTATTAAAGATTTTCCACCAAAATGCAGAAAAAAAAATCCACAATTTCCGAATAAAAAAATAATTCTACCCTCTCATTAGAATTAAACAGTTGTTTTTGCTGTTGACTGTTGTGCAGTACTGTGTTACTTGAGATACAGCATTGCGCATTTTTTCAAAAAGAAAAAAATATTTTCAGCATACAAATTTTAAAAAAAAATGTTTCTGATTGACTGAAAGTCAATGGCTTGTGAAGTATGGAATGTGTTTTCAGCTCAGTTTAATTAAATGGTCTTTTTCTCTCTGAATAGGAATACTTGAATTCTGAAAGTTACAGTGTTTATTCAGGAAAACGTGTGTCCTTGTGTTATGAACATTATCGTAAAACCACATTCAAGAAACACCTAGTCCAGCATTCCTCGAATTGCCACTTTCCAAATTTTGTGTATGTTTATAGATATAAAGAGGCAGCAATGGCCTATGAAAGCGCACGAGACTGGGACAACGTCATTCGAATCCTACTGGAGCATCTTAACAGCCCTGAGGAGGCTGTCCGCATCGTACGAGAAACTCAGTCCATCGAAGGAGCCAAAATGGTGGCCAGGTGAGTAAAGAGAGAAACCCCAAAAACCCCTGTGTGTCTAGGAAATTAAATGATAACATTTCTCTTCTTTTACAAAATGAATTCCCAACCAGTGAAAGTGCATTTCCAGATCATTAGGGTTAAACACCTGTCCTTATTTCAAGTTCTTTGCTCGTCTTGATGTTCTGTTAGTGTGATAAATGTTCGGTGACTGCGCAGGTTTTTCCTGCGTTTGAGTGATTACGGCTCAGCGATCCAGTTCCTGGTTTTGTCACGTTGCAGCGATGAAGCTTTTCAGCTTGCCCAGCAGCACGGGCAGATGGAGATCTACGCTGACATCATCGGTGAATGCAGTACATTTTCATGTCCCCATCATATATGTGCTGATAAAATATTAAACTCAGAATTTTAAAGATGGAAATGATAGTAGTTTTCACAATATCACAATTAAGTGAAGATATGGGTATATTTCAAATTGTGAGACTACTTTATTAATAATATTATTAAGAAATATTCTGGATTACTTTTCTGTCATGTTCTGTGCATGTGTCCAGGTTCGGAGGCTACAATAGAGGACTATCAGAGCATAGCGCTGTATTTTGAGGGGGAGAAGAATCATCTTCATGCTGGGAAGTTCTTTCAGAAGTGTGGACAGTACAGCAGGGTACGAGAACTGTGTGTGCTTCCTTTCTTATCTTTCACTCCCATGCCTGAGTGCTAGGGATGCACCGATACCACTTTTTCCAGTTCTCGCCCGATACCGATACTTTTATTTTTGGTACATGCCGATACCGAGTACCGATACCAATATTTTATTGCATTTGTAAATTTTTAAAATATTGGGTACAGAAACCAAAAGAGTACGTATAATGTTAGTTGGTTAACTTCATTTATCAAATAGATACAGTCAAACCAAAATTTATTCAGACACCTTCAACATTTCTCACATTATCACAGTTTATTCGCTATAGTTTAGAAAATGGTAATAAAATATAACAAGAACTCAAAGTTAAACTGTGTCAGAACAAATTCAGCTTGATAATGTTAGATAACTTTGATAGAAAGGTATGTAATGGATTACAATCAACCAAAAAATTAGACCGCTGTTAGTATGACAGTATTTACACAACTATCAATACTTAGTCGGGCGACCCTTAGCCTTAATGACAGCCTGTAGTCTCCTGGGCATGCTGTCACCCAGCTTCATGCAAACCTCAACTTCAATGTTTTTTCCCAGACTCGGTGTGACGAGTACAGGAGCTCAGTATCGGGCCCGATACCGATACCAGTATCGGTATTGGTGCATCCCTAGTGCACTTCCTCTGTCTTTCAAGCTCTCACTTTTCGTCAAACTTGGTTTCCCTTCTCTCTTCGCTCATTATCTCCAAAGAGGTTCTTTGCTCAACTGACTGTGCTAATTACCTCAGTCATTAAATGCTTATTAATATATTTGTGTCTGTCTGTCCACACACAGGCGCTGAAGCACTTTTTGAAATGTCCTAGCTCTGATGACAGTTTGGCTATAGAGATGGCCATTGAGACAGTGAGTACAGCTGGGGGAAGAACTAATTCGCTCTTTACTACACTACAGTTCACATCATCTGTCAAAAAGGGGGATGCACAATAATGAGATATATTTGTAAAAATCAGTATTGGTTAATATTGGAAGGGATCTTTCAAAGAATTGGGATGTTTTTGCTCAAAATATGTCAGTATTCACTCTAAACGTTTCACTAGAAGATTGACCACAATTCTGAACAAGTGTATGAAATGTAGAAAAGAATAGTATTACCCAGAGATCAGTCGTATCACCAGATCCCATCTGATTCCCATCTCTAGATAATGGTTTTTGAAGGCAAGAAATAAACGGATATCAATCTTTCATACTGCACATTGCAATGTTGCTTGATGCTTGAATTCACTTGCTTTTTGTTTGTCTTTTTTTTTTTTGTAATACAAAAATGTTATAGATTTATAGTGCAGCCATTATTCTTAACAAATAATTATAATTCATTTCTGTATTAATGATTTATCACTGTCTTTTTAACAGGTAGGGGAAGCAAAGGATGAAGCTCTAACCAATCAGCTTATTGATTATCTGATGGGGGAAAGTGACGGAATGCCAAAGGTATTGAAAACATGACACAGACACAGAGTTGTAAATGAAAAATGACTGTATCATCTGGAATGAAATCAAAAATGAAATTTAAATTGGAATCTTGTTTAATACATTAATTGGACTTAAGTAACTTGGTTTCTTGGAACTTAATGAATTGGAATAAGACATTCTTATTCCAAGAAATATAGTTTATTTTAGTTTATTAAAAAAAATAATTAAAAAAAAAGATAATTTTGTTTAGCAAGATGAAATAAATTGATCAAAAGTGAGAGTGAAGACTTGTAAATTGTTTAAAAAAAGTAATTTTCAAATAAATCCTGTTCTTTTGAACTTTGTTCATCATCATCAAAAAAAATTAAAATATATATATATATTAAGCAGCACAATGGTTTTCACTAAAAAAATGTTTTTTGATCAGCAAATCAGCATTAAGGATCATGTGACGCTGAAGACTTGAGTAATGCTGCTGTAAATTCAGTATCACAGGGGTAAATGTAATAATACTTGAAATTAATACTGTTTTTACTGTAGTTTTAATCAAATAAATGTAGCCATGGTGAGAGAGACTTTTAAATAGACTGTTACAGATATTTTAAATATCTTACCGCTTTTGAATGGAAGTGTAGCAACTTGCTGCATTTGTATAGACTACACAAAATATTAATATAGTTCTGTTGCTATAGCTGAACACAACATCCAATCTGAATTTGGAGTCAGAACTATTTGTAAATGTTTATTTCCTGTATGTTCCATGACATCACTCCTTGCTCCAGGACTTTCACTTGATAGGACCCTTTCATTGACATTTGATTAACTTAGACACATGAGGATTATCTAATTGCTCCAGGCGGCTCTAACATTACCTTTTACTGTATCATTTATTGTCAGGTTTTTCTTTTGTAAATGTGTGTAGTCTTTTGAAAATGTGGGCAGTGAACCATTCAAGTTCCTGTTTTCAAAACAAGCATCTATTGATATTTGCATTTATATACTGTAAATGTTTTGTTGCTCTCATTATCTGATTGGTTCCTGTTGTCCTTACACTCATCATCTCTCACTCATCTCCTCTCTCTTGCGTGTCACTGCATGTGTGTAGTCTCTTGCCGTGAGTAGCTCATTGCATCTGCTGATATTTCCCTTTGTGGTGACCCAGCAGAAGGCACTTGTGTGTGTGTGTGTGTGTGTGTGTGTGTGTGCGCATGTGTGTGTGTCTGTGTGCAATGTCAAAGTGTGTTTCGGTAAAGTTCCTCTGCTTTATTACTTCATATTCTGACTGTGTGTCTTTGTTTTGTAGTTATTTGAACTGTTTTTGTTGGAAAATGGTTTGATTCCGAGCAAATCATTTGTATAGGATGGTCTACCTCATTTGATGATATTAGTATATACATTAGCATCAGAAGTGTGTTATCAGAAAAAGTGTATCGACTAGATAATGTTTGTTGGTTCTGCTGTTTCCTAGGATGCAAAATATCTGTTCCGGTTGTACATGGCTCTCAAACAGTACAGAGAGGCAGCGAGAACTGCTATTATTATCGCCAGAGAGGAGCAATCTGCAGGTCTGGTTTCAATGCTTTTTGGTTATCCATGTAGTGTAATAATTATAATAATTAATTTACTTAACAGTCATTCACTGTTACTGCGTTAAGCGCAAATTTTTGGGAGCGTGTTTCACCAATGCAGACTCAGAGTGTGAGAATAAGAAGATAATAACTTCTTAGGGAATTCCCGCCCTGTGTTTTTTGTAAAGCACACTTAAAGTGTGTGTGTGTGTGTGTGTTATGTGTTGTAGGAAACTACAGGAATGCCCATGATGTTTTGTTCAGCATGTACGCTGAGCTTCAGACACAGCACATTAAGATCCCAGCAGAGATGGCCACAAACCTGATGATCCTGCACAGCTACATACTAGTGAAGGTGGGAAATACATTTACAATATCCCTGATTTTACTTTATTTTTATCAAATAATTGTAGCTTTGGTGATCATAAGAGACTTTCAGAAACATTTAAATATCTTCCCGGTTTTCAAATTTTTTTTTTTATTGATACCTGTTGGTTGTGCATCACTAGATTTGATGGTTTGTATCTAATATTTTAAGCATTCATTTTAAATGTGGTTTAAGTGAACAAAAGTGTTCAAATACTTTTTGCAGCCCCAGTTTACTATTTATATTTCATATTTATTTAAAGAAGAAAACCGAATAAACAAACATGTAAGGGGGTGAAAGAGAATTCTGTAAATTGTACTCGTAAGATATTCACTGTTCTGTAACGTTTTAGATGTTTGTGTTTTCATAAATTTTTCAGATCCATGTCAAAAGAGGAGATCATTTAAAGGGGGCCCGAATGCTTATCCGTGTGTCCAACAACATCAGCAGATTCCCATCCCGTGAGCCTCTATTGTACAGCTACTTACACACACACATACAGTACATACTTCAGTACTGTTACAGCTGTCAGATCCACTAGACATTTTCTTCTATAGAGAGGAGATGACAGCCTCTGCGTCTGTATCACTGGTTTAACAGTCAATAATAGATCTCTTGGATCACTTGTGCCTTGTAAGCTAATTATACAATGACCCAGACATCATTGAAATGCTTTAAGAGTTTTACGACAGTGATGAGTAATGAGCTGTTTCCACACAACAGCAGTTTATTCAGTGTATCGAGACATCTCTTTCATATTCTTTGTGGTTTCCCTGAACATTATGCCTTTTTTAGCTAACATGAATCCACCTTTAATGTAGCATAAAGCAGTGCGTGTGTGTGTGTGTGTGTATGGCCTACAGACATTGTCCCCATCCTCACATCAGCGGTTATTGAATGTCATCGTGCTGGACTAAAGAACTCTGCCTTCAGCTTTGCCTCTATGCTGATGAGACCAGAATATCGTAACAAGATTGATCTCAAATACAAGAAGAAAATCGAGGCCATGGTCCGGTAAGACACTGAAGGGAAATATACTGAGAATAAATTGCAGCCATTAATAGAGTTGTTTATTTGCACAGGCTGTCTGTGCTTTGTTGTAGCACTTGATTCACTAAAAAAAGAAGATACAAATAAGGTAAAAGCTGTAAATGGTGCATCAAGTGCAATGCTATTTCAGTGCATTCAGCTTCTGTTTAAACCAGCAGTTCCTGAACTTTTTGACTCCAGGGCCCCTCCATTGTCCACAACAATATTCAAATCAGGGGCGTAGGCAGCGGAGTGGCCTGACGGGCACAGGCCCACCCACTCTGATGAATAGGCCCCCCCCGCAGTTTATTATACAAATATAATATTTGTTAAATAATTGTTGTTTATTTTAACGCAATTACAAAACTAGTATAACATCTCAAATTACTAAAATAAATAAAATGTGTTTTTGCCTAATTCTTGATGAGTTGCATAATTCTGTAAAAAGGACTTTTAAAAACTCGCACTAACGAGGGAAAGAAAACTGAAAGAAGATTGAAATGACCTGAATATTGAGTCCGACTCCATCCGTTAGTTACTAGTGCCCGCTCATTTTGCCCAGGCCCGCCCAAAAATAAAATTCTGCCTACACCACTGATTCAAATCACCCCTTTCTCCACTAAAACATTTTTAATAAGTAAATAAAAATAGGAGTGTCCAGGAGTTACTTAAATAATTAGAATTAATAACGTTTTAGAATTCCATAAGTTCTCCAGCCCCCTGCGACCATGCAGAGGGTACAGCAGTTTGGAAAATGGATGGAATTCCCTAAGTTTTAAGAGCCGAATGTTCTTTAGGGTTCCCACTGTTTTTAACCATTGAATTTACATGACTTTTCCTGTCAATCCTAATTTACTGGATAAGGATTTTAAAAAATATATTTTTGACTCACAGTTTCTACTCAAAGTATTTTAGAGTTTGGCATAACTGGAAAAATGTATATTCTTTATAAAAATGCCCATGGCATTTTAAGATTTTATTAATTTACAAGAGTTTTACATGTAGAGAAATCAAAACATTTAAAGTTAGACTAGCTCATATATCCCAGTCAGGTCAAGTCATGTCATAGCACGTTTTCCAAAAAGCTGTGTCAGTGTCTCGGAATTCGGTTTCAGTTCCAGCTTGTTTTGTCTTATTTTAAATTATTTCAGTAATTTGAGGCCCTCTTCTGGGCCCTGACCCTCTTGTTGAAAACCACTGGTTTAAACTGGATTGCAGATGGTTAGTAAACAAACTTGTTCTGAAATACAGTGTACAAAAGCTGCACAGAAGTATTGTTATAATTGTTTGTAATTGTAATAAATGTTTAAATTCATATAATAATTGATGCTGTTGACTCATCCATTTTCTTAAAAATGGTTTAAAGGCTGAAATGTAAAGTTCATCATTTTATAAAACTGTTTGTTTTGTGAAAAACTGAACTGTAAATCATGCTTTTTACAGTCATTTTACAGTTTAATATGTGACTATAGACTTTGCCCTAATTGTATTTTAAATCTGAGCTTAAAAATCCTGCAGATACCCTGTACTTTGCATTTTGTAAAATGTTTTTTCTTTCTGTTTTTTGTTTATTTTTTTTTTGTTTTTTTTACCCATGGTATGTGAGAGTTTTATTTTTTCTGTATATGTACAGAAATATTTTAACTTCTAAACTGCTTTGAGTTAAATGTGTGAAATACCTCTGTGTTGCAGTGACCCAATCATTGACCCTTTTCTGTTTTCCATCAGTCGTCCAGATACTTCTGAGGTGGAGGAGGAGAGCTCACCCTGTCCCTACTGCGGCTTCAGCCTGCCTGACTGTGAGCTGCTCTGTCCCGGCTGCAAAAACAATCTGCCCTACTGTATCGCCACAGTGAGTACAGACAACTTAATCTACTGCATCACTGCACTGACCGAACACAAGCAGCCTACTGCTTCAGTTCCACAGTGTAAACGTCACAGAGAACCGCTCATCAGCCTCTTCCTCTGCCTGAAACCCAGTCCCTATTTTAACTTCCTTTCTAGGTGCTATATTTCATTCTTTACTTGTCTGTGTCTGTAAGGAGAGGAATGACAATAAACTTGACTTGACCTTTTAGTGTGTATATGCAGTCGCAGTTTGTCTGATAGATGTGTGTGTCATTATTTTCAGGGTCGTCACATGGTCAAGGAGGATTGGTGTGTCTGCCCACACTGTGATTTCCCCGCTCTCATTTCGCAGTTCACCCAGTAAGTCTCATCCATCCATGGCCCATCTATCTAGTCACCCACCCATCCATTGATTTTCTGTATTTGTATGCGTTTGTTTCAGGCTCTTAGAGGCCGAGTCGGTTTGCCCCATGTGCTCTGAGCCTTTAAATGTCAGTGAGGTGAAAAAAGTTTCGGACTGCTCCAGATATCTGCAGCAGGACCAACTGGAGCGCTGAGATCCAGAGATCAAGAAAGGAGAAATGAAAGGGTAATGACAGAATAAAAAGTCTTAAATATAGTTGTATCAAATAGTTGTATCATATAGTTGTATCAAATTTAAGAGAATAAACTCTTGCTGCTTATACAGTGGGGGCCAAAACTCTGTGACTAATGAAAATGCCTTAATAAAAGTCCTTAATTGAATAATTACATTTCTTTCTTTTTTTTAACATTGAATTTATTTTAACATGGAATTTTAAAGTAATAGTTCACCCAAAAAATGAAAATTCTATCATCATTTACTCACTCTCATGTAATTCCAAATCTGTATGAATTTCTTTCTTCTGCGGAACATAAAAGTAAGATATTTTGAAGAATGTTGGCAACCGAACAGTTTGGGTAACCTTAGGGAAAAAAAGAGGAGACATTTCTCAATATCTTCTTTTATGTTTATTTTCAGGGAGCTATCCCTTTAAGTATTTCTTTTTTATTTTACACAATTTCAACAGTCCTTTCTTTTACAATTTTCAAAATCCTGAAACTTTCCAAAAACGTTTTATTTTCCACGCACACACTCCAAAAAACACACAGATACAGTATATGTCAGAGACTATAACAATAACACACAACACATTCTAACACTTATTTTTGCTTAATGTTATAACATTTTTGATTAAAAAATTTAATATTTTTATTATGCAGTATATATACTGCATAATAATTTATTATTTTATTGCTTACAGATACGGAAATGCAGTCTTTACTGCTTATTGTTTCATGATTATTTTTGTGGACAAAACTAAAATGGACGATTTTATATAACTGTTGCCCTTATGTTTCCTGTTTTCAGATTTTTCTTGTTTACAGAATTTTGAGAAGCCAGGACTGATCATCTTTTATTGAACAATCAAAAATATATATTTTTTTTATTTAGCCATATTGTAGCAATTTGCAATCATGGTTTATTAATCTTAAAATACAGAATAAAAAATAAATATACAGTATACAGTATCTGTATAGTTACTCTAAACTGTATTTCTACAGGAGGCTAAATAAAAAAAAAAATATATTTTTGATTGTTCAATAAAAGATGATCAGTCCTGGCTTCTCAAAATTCTGTAAACAGGAAAAATCTGAAAACAGGAAACATAAGGGCAACAGTTATATAAAATCGTCCATTTTAGTTTTGTCCACAAAAATAATCATGAAACAATAAGCAGTAAAGACTGCATTTCCGTATCTGTAAGCAATAAAATAATAAATTATTATGCAGTATATATACTGCATAATAATTTATTATTTTATTGCTTACAGATACGGAAATGCAGTCTTTACTGCTTATTGTTTCATGATTATTTTTGTGGACAAAACTAAAATGGACGATTTTATATAACTGTTGCCCTTATGTTTCCTGTTTTCAGATTTTTCCTGTTTACAGAATTTTGAGAAGCCAGGACTGATCATCTTTTATTGAACAATCAAAAATATATTTTTTTTTTATTTAGCCATATTGTAGCAATTTGCAATCATGGTTTATTAATCTTAAAATACAGAATAAAAAATAAATATACAGTATACAGTATCTGTATAGTTACTCTAAACTGTATTTCTACAGGATCTTATAGGTAAAATATATACTTTCAGGGGTGACTAGGAACATTTATAATAATGAAAATGAAATAATGTTGCTATATCAGGTGGCTCAAACACACAGCGATGTTGAAAACAATACAGCCACGGAATTTATATTTTTTGGGGAAATCAATTTATGAATGTTATCTCTGCACATTAACCTGGTAAAGAAGAAAATGACACATCAGCTTTAATCTGAGGGGTTTGTACTGCTGTTTTCTAGCTTGGCCACAAGAGTTCAGCACTGCCGTGTGAGCTAATGAAAGGAGAAAGACCGTTAATCTAACCACCCAAGTGCTGACATTTATGTTGAGTTGGACTGTCCGTTCACTTTATATGTGGCCTTAAATTTTATAACAAACAGGATTGAAGTCGGCGACTCTTATCTTTTAAAGTTTAGCTTTACTCCACTGCTTTTGACTTTAAGGCCAAATGTTCTGCATTTTGAATAAGCTGTAATATACCAATTGTAAAATTGTAATTGTAATGACTTATTTGCTGGTCTATCTGTGCTTTGAGATTGAATTATGTGCTTTAAAGGGGTAGTTCACCCAAAAATGAAATGCATGCATGACCCAACCTTGCTCTGTCTTTGGTTGTGAGTTCCATTCTTCATTCGTAGTGGTCAAATTTGCCAAAGCAGAAGATGAATTGTGTTCCTGTTAGCCCTGGACAGATGGTGTGTGTGTTCTATGTGTGTAGAAGGCATGAAAGCATGTTCCATATTTGGCATAGCATCTGGCTTGTTTTGTAGTATATGGGTGGATGTCATTGTGCAATGATCACTTTTATAAGAATGATAGCCACTCACTGTAATTGTTTTCTTTCAATCATAAATCACCTGTGAAACTACCACATCTGACACAAGTTGGTGTGTGTGTGTGATAGAGGTGTGAGGGCTGATGTTTTACAGCATCTGAAATGCTGAGGTAAGTTTGTAATTCATAAAGACCAACATGAAGCTGTCCTGTGTGTGTGTGTATGTGTGTGTGTGAGAGAGAGAGAGTGTGTGTGTCTCATCTGCAGCATGCTGGCGTTGTGCCACGCTGTGAGCAGAATGGCTTCACAAATATATATATATATATATATATATATATATATATATTATAATTAATAATAATTAATTTATATGCTATTCGTGTGTGTGTATATAGAGAGAATAAGATTATTTATTATTTTGTTTTGATCAGTGTATCTTATGTTTATATAAATATATAATTATATATTGATAAATTGTGTGTGTGAGTGTGTGTGTGTACACACACACACACACATTATATATTTGTTATCTAATTAATGAAAAATTTAAATACAATTCATCTTATTCTCAGGGTACCTTCAAATTGTTTATGTGAATCTTACTCGTGCTCTCTCATTCCCATTCTCCCATGGGATCATTTATCTTTCCTGCCACTTCCTCTCTCTCTCTCTCTCTCTCTCTTTCTCTTTCTCTCTCTCACACACAGAGCCCATCCCATGCTCTCATTTAGTTCTGTGGGCTCAGTGTAAATCTGTTCACAGAGAGGGTTGTGATTTAATGTGACACAAAGGACACATCGAGGTGAGGAGGAGCTGTTCACAAAACCACTAACATCTCGTGAATTCTTAAGTCTCTCGCTTAATATAATCACAGTGATTCTTGTTAAACGTGGATGGGCTGCTGCGTTTTACACCTTACATTTCTTCTACTCTGATTTGGGATAACACAGGTCGTTTAAATCTTCAAATTCACTAAATGGTACTGTAGCTCAGTGGGTTTCGTGACTTAAATGCAGGCGGAGAAAGTGACGCCGGTGCGGGACGGAGCTTGCTTCATCACGCGAGAGCTCAGCATCAGCATCACTGCAGCGGGACAGCTCCATCACCCACACCGAACCTGAATCCGGAGCGTGGATGTACGTACAATGTCAGCCGCGTGTTTGAGCGAGGGACACTAATATCAGCTGTGTTTTCTTCAGAAGGTAAGGCTGCGTGTCTTTATACGGTCATATGTAGGCTACAGACGTTCTCACTGACGCGCTTATTTCGGTTCAGCATGATTTCTCAAGTTCTTAGAGTGACTAATTACCAGTGTCTTTATTTGTCTTCGTGTATATGTCTGGAAGAGTGTTTAACGGTGTGATGAGTGTTCTCTCGTGCTTCCACTGCGGATCTCTAGTGCTGGATTCGGTCCCGAGTGTTTTTCATTCCGCTCTTATTAACGTTCATTAATCTGCACATTATTCTCAAGGTCTGATCAAGGCGCGACTATCAAGCTGTCCCAGGGGTTTTGGACGAGATTGTTATTCAGTAAGAGACATTTCTCTATCAAGATACTCAACTAGCAAACACTTTGAGATAGGCCTATTTGTACAAGCATCTAGTTCAAAACCCATTCTTACATTGGGAAAAATTTTGTGAATTCTAACATCCAAGTGAAAGATATAACCAGCATGTCAGAAAAAATAAATAAATGAAAAAAACAATTACTGAGTTGGAAAAAGGATCACCCCCTTGTGTCAGTATTTTGTTGAACCACCTTTTGCTTTAATTACAGCCTTTAGTCTGTAGGGATTTGTCTCTACTAACTTTGCACATCTAGACTTTGCAATATTTGCCCACTCTTCTTTGCTGAACTGCTCAAGTTCAGTTCAATCTGATGGTGAGTGTTTGTGGTCTTCAAGTCATTCCACAGATTTTCAGTGGTGTTTAAGTCTGGGCTCTGACTAGGTCATGCAAGGACGTTCAGCTTTTTCTCCTTCGACCACTGGGTGCTTTGGGTCACTGTCATGTTGGAAGGGAAACCTTCTTCCCATTGACAACTTTCTGGCAGAGGGCAACAGATTTTCCTCAAGAATTTGGCAGTATTTTGCCCCATCCATTTTTCCTTCTATCCTGACAAGCGCTCCAGTCCCTGCTGCAGAGAAACACCCCATAACAGGACATCACCACCTCCATGCTTTACTGTAGGAATGCTGTTGTTTGGATGCTGAGTTGTATTGGATTTTCATCAGAAATATCATTTGGTGTTGAGGCCAAATAATTCAATTTTAGTCTCATCTGCCTCAGAATCTTCAAGGTGTGTTTTGGCAAAGCTCAGTCTGACTGCATGTGGCCTTTCTTGAGGAGTGCCTTTTTTCTTGCAACCCCCTCATACAAGCCACATTTGTGAATAATTTGTGATATTGTCACATGCACACAATGACCACTCTTCTGCTTCAGAGTTGCTGTAACTCTTGGTCACCTCTCTGATCAGTTTCCTCCTGCTCTTTCATTCAGTTTGGAGCGACGTCCTGATCCAGGGAGGGTCTGTGTTGTACCAAATACCTTCCACTTCTTAATAATAGACTTCACTGTGCTTCTAGGCATTGATAAAGCCTTTGAATTTTTTTGTATCCATCTCCTGACTTGTGCCTATCCACAACTTTTTATCCCGGAGATCTTTTGACAGTGCTTTGCCACCCATAGTTGATTGTTTGCTTCAGTTGCACTACCAAGGACTGAAGTACTCCAGGAAAGGAAAGCTCTTGTCATGTTGAGCTAATCAAAATGAGCACAGCTGATCACAGTTGAAAGTCAAATGGCTTTGTGTGCCGTTGAGAAGGTGATTAGCTACACCTGATATGTACTGGTTTTATGTACCTGACATGGTAGTGTTCACTTGGATGTTATAAGTTGCACTGAGTAAACACAGCTGGATAAAACAAACTGTCTGTCTTCATTTCAGGCTGCAAAGCAACAAAATGTGATTATTTTAAAGTGGGGTTATTATTTTCTATACCCATTGTATAATGGACAATTTAATATTTCATTGTGACAACCTAGACCGTAAAAGCTATGACAACTTGCCCTCAGGTGAATGTGTGTTCAGTGAACTGTTTCTATTTTCTTGGGAAATCACAGTCAAAAAGTTCAATAACTCGACAAAGCTTTGATCACAATACAGCATATAGCCATAGTTGGCATAGTTTACTTTCTGAGAAAATTCTGAATTTGTCTTATTCCTCACTTTCTATTCAGCCCTGCTATGCTTTTGCCTTTGAAAACATGCATTGATCTTTCTTACGTCACTTATAATAAGGTGATATTAATATTATTCCATTAAATAATGGGATTTTTTTCTTTAAATGTTTTTTTTTTTAGCGCTGTATTATATCTTGGCCTCAACCAGCTCAATCAGCCCTGTTATGGGAATTTTTTTTTTTAAATCCATCAACCTTTACAAAAGATCGTTCTTGGCCCAATATCATCAAAGCATGTTGACTGCAAACAATGTGGTGTGGTTCAACCTCATTTGAAATGTAGCTGTTTTTTTTAGTTGTATTTCATTCATTCATTCATTCAATTTTATTTTGAAAGAGGAATTTAATTTCAACTAGAATATACATGGTTATCTATTAAGCAGTAACTTGTTTAAATTAAATGATTGAAGGAACAGTTCACCCAAAAATTAAAATGTGCTGAAAATATGCTCACCCTCAGGCCATCCAAGATGTAGATGAGTTTGTTTCTTCATCAGAACAGATTTGGAGGAATGTAGCATTGCATCACTTGCTCAGCAATGGATCCTCTGCAGTGAATGGGTGCCATCAGAATGAGAGTCCAAACAGCTGATAAAAACATCACAAGTAATCCACACCACTCCAGTCCATCAGTTAATGTCATGTGAAGAGAAAAGGTGTTTGTAAGAAACAAATTCACTATTGAGAATAATTAAACCATTGCTTCTAAAATATCCTTTGTCTATATACTGCTTATTGAAATAAAAAAGTAATCTTGATTATGGACTCATATTTTAGCCAGAAGTGATGATTTAAAGTTAAAATGCCCTGCTGATGGATTAGTTTCT